AATGCATAATAATAGAAGTCATGGGACTAAATTGTAAATCTTTTCAAAGTTTGAGGTCTATATTGTGAAATAAATGGCTCCAATTAGGGACCTAAATTAATAAATTTGAAGATATGAGATTAGATTGTTCATCATGGAGAAGTCTTAGGACCAGACTTGCAATTTTATCTTTAAAAAAATAGCAAAAGGACCCAAAAACCCGACACGGGTTGTGTGTTGACACTTTTGCTCAGTGTTTTGACACTCTTGCTTAGTGTTGATATAATTATTACAGAGGAAGTTGAACAAATTAATATATAGTTAAAAACTCTAAACACGAGTTATTAAAAATTAAACTCACCCTAATATATGCATAATGGAAAATAATAATGAAAAGAATTAAAAGAAGAGAAAAATTATGCCATTTACATGTACATTAAAATCTCCATTAATTAATAAAAAATCATAAAAAAATAAATAATCAAATAACAACATGGAATAGAAAAATCGCATTCAAAATTATCATATTAACAATTACAAATCATAGTATTAAAAATTTTATTCAAAATTATTATATTAGTAGTTACAAATGATAATATTATTACACCTTTAATTGTAAGATAAAAAAACTTACAATAACACCAAAATCAAAATAACACAGTTGGGAGAATGGGTCATTGAAGGCAAGATCAGATAAAAAACAAGATTGGCGAGAAGGTTTTAATACCAAGAATTACAATGACTTCACAGCAATGAAAATGGCCATTTATATTGAAGAGAAAACAACTTCCTTTAAGGTCGTGCTACGCAATAACAATTAATAAGAGTCAAGGGCAGTCCCTAAAGCATATTGGCCTATATCTATCAAATCATGTTTTCAACCATGGCTAATTATATGTTTGCATTTAGAATGACATCTCCAATTGGTCTAAAGATTTTCATTGGTTATGATGAACAAGACCATGAAGGCTACAAAGAAAATATTGTTTATTACAAAGTTTTTAATGATCTCCCACAAGTAACCATTGAATAATAAAAAGCTCTTAATGTCTTACTACAAGTCACTATTAAATAATAACAATAAAGCATGATATTCAAATACCTTCTTATGAATATTCATTCTTCTGTGTTATATCATTGATATTTCATAAATATAATCTGCTAAATAAAAAAAACACAATTAAAGATAAATGAAAAAAAAAACCACACCCGTGCAACACAAGGGCAAAAAAAAACTAGTTAAGAATATAAATTAGACAACTCTATTAAAAAATTTTATAAAATAACAAGTTAAATTATTAACATAAAAATATTTTGTGCGAATCATTATTCAATTTTCACACCCTTCTCCTCACGAAAGATTTCAATCAATTAGTCTCTTTCGTATAGAATATTGGACAACCATGTTCAATTAATGTATCTATAACTATAAGCACTTAACAAGCTGTCGTTGTTCCGTTCCATTCATTGTCATT